CCTTTTCTGTCTCCTTTTCTGTCTCTTTTTTTTTCTCCCTCTCTCTTTCTGTCTCTCTTTCTGTCTCTCTTTCTGTCTCCTTTTCTGTCTTCTGTCTCCTCTAGTGTCTCCCTTTTTATGTGTCTCTTTTTTTTTTCTCCTTTTTTTTGTCTCTTTTTTTCTTCTTAGGTGGATTTCTTAGAGCGTGCAGCTGGTGATTCATTTGTTAATTTATTGTTACCCCATACCGTCACAGAAGATGGGCAACTCGTCTTCTAGGGTTTAGGGTTTAGGGTTTAGGGTTTAGGGTTTAGGGTTTAGGGTTTAGGGTTTTTAGGGTTTCTAAGGTTTAAATATGTTGTCATAAGGACAACAAAAAAATAAATAATATTTAATTATTATTTTCTTTTTCTTTTTGTTTTATTATATCTAAATACTATATATATAGAACAGCAGCAGCAGCAGCAGCAGCAGCAGCAGCAGCAGCAAGAGCAACAGCAGCAACAGCAGCAGCAGCAGAAGTATTTGCTATTCTTTAGACTTCCTGCATCTCCCAATTGCCTTGCAGGTTTAGGGTTTAGGGTTTAGGGTTTAGGGTTTAGGGTTTGTAGGTGCCTAGGGTTTAGTGTTTAGGGTCTATGTTGCATGCATTTAGTTTTGGGGCTGCATGCAAAACAATATATTCCTTCCCTTTTCCTTTTTTCCCTGCTTATTCCTGCTGCTGCTGCTGCTGCTGCTGCTGCTGTTGCTCGTTCTAATTGCTGCTCCTCCTCCTAACTGCTGCTGCTGCTGCTGCTGCTGCTGCTGCCTATTTCTGCTGCTGCTGGCCCCCCAACCAATAAAAAAAAAAGTATATATAATTTAATTATATATAAATATAATTAGTGTATTTTCTTTATACACTAAAAGAAAATTATTTATTTAGTAGGAATTATTATTCAATAATATTTATTGTTTATTTATTGTTTATTTATTTATTTATTGTTTATTTATTATTTATTTATTTGTTTATTTATTTATTTTATTATTTATTTATTTATTTATTTATTTATTATTTATTTTATTATTTATTTATTTATTTAATTGGTAAAAGTAATTACTAAGTAGACTAAGTTTATATAATATTATTAATAAAAAAAATAATAAATAAATATATTTATTTATTATATATATATTTATTTACTTAGCAATAATTATTTAATATAATTAAATAAATAAATAATTAATTAACTGTCTCCTCTTATAAGCTCGTGTCTCCTCCATATAGGCCTGTGGGGGGGGGGCCCCCCTAGAGGGGCCCCCCTTAGCCCGAATTGTCTCAAGACGCTCGGAGCCCAGCAGCAAGAATTGGTGGCGAGGCGACGAGCCTATATAGAGTTGGCGGCTACCCCTGCCTAGCTAGCTAGCTAGCTGCTTATCTAGCTAGCTGCTTAGCTAGCTAGCTAGCTAGCTAGGTATTTATTTAGCTAATTGTATATCTAGCTAGTTAGGTTAATTATTATTATTATTATTATTGTTACATATAATAATATATAAGAAAAAAGGTTATATATAAACAAATAAACAATTCATTTGTTTGCATGCATGCATGCACGCATGCATGCATGAATGCATGCATGCATGCATGCATGCGCTCTGCTGCAAAACCCTATATATATACACTAAAGAAAGCAGCAGCAAACTATGTTTGCTACTGCTGCAGCAGCAACAGCAACAGCAGCTGCTGCTGCTGCTGCTGCTGCAGTTGATCTACGAATATAATACATATATATGTATACAATGTATATAATATATATGTATATGTATATGTATATATGTACGTATATATACATAATACATATATCTATATATATAGATAATTTAATTATTATATATAATGATTTATTTATTTATTTATTTATTTATATATATATAAATAAATAAATAAATAAATAAATAATTAAATTACCTAGAATCTAGTCCCTGTTATATATCTAGCTCTCCTCTCTGCGTCCTTATTTAATTTCTCTCTTTTCTCTACTACCTCTGGCTTACTCATGTACTCCTTGAGCATTTTTTGTCTCCTTTCCTCCTCTGTTATCTTATTTCCTTCCTCTACTTCTTTTTGTATTTTTTTCCTTATTGCCTCTGCTCTCCCTGGTGTACGCTGTACATTTAGTCCTAATTGCTCCCTCCTCCTCCTCTCGTCCCTCTCCTCTGCCTGGCGGCGGAGCTCAGCTATCCTGCCTCCTCCTCCACGAGCAGGACGACCTGCTGGTCTTGGTGCTGTACCCTGGGGCCCCCCTGTACCACTAGGGGCCCCAACACCTGAGGGCCCTCCTGTACCCTCACCAAGACCTGCCTCTTCTGCTGTACGCTTATGACCTGCCATTGTTGCTGTCCTTCCTCCTGCTGCTCCTGCTGCTCCTGCTGCTCCTGATGGTCCCTCTCCTGGGGAAGGAGGAGGAGAAGAAGGAGGAGAAGAAGGAGGAGAAGAAGAAGGAGAAGAAGAAGGAGATGTTCCTTCTCCTTCTTCTTCCTTATTATCCATAGGTGTCTCAACAAAAGATGCATCTAGTTCTTGGTCTTCTTCTCCTGTTGCTGCTGCTGCTAGCCAATCGTCTCCTCCTGCTACTCCTGCTGCTGCTGCTGCTGCTGCTGCTGCTGGTGATGATGACCAGTCTCCTTCTGCTGCTGCTGCTTGTAAGACACCTCCATTATTATTATATGGGTATAGAGGGACTGCAGCAGAAGGAAGTATAAATATATTCAATAAAAGTATTCCTGC